CAGCCCCATGCAGCTGGCTCATCACTGGGACAGAGCCCACGCATCCTCCAAAAGGCACCAGCCCAGGCCTGCCCGTTGCTCCCTTACCTACCACAGCGGGGTCGAAACAAAACGGCAGCCATTTTGCTGAGCCCAGTGGCAGAGGAGCAGCCTGGTGGAAAAGCCAGTGCCTTGGTGACCCTCCCAGCTGGGAATGCCCAGAGTCGGCCATTGTAACGAAGTGTCTAAGTTGAGTTGAGGACCCCTGTGGTTTCAGATCTCTGGCCAAGACCCCTTCACCTTGATTTACCTCCCACCATCCCTTACCCTGCCTTCCAAACACTAGAGCCAGCTCCAACGCCCAATGCCCCAGGCCACTACAACCCACCCCACCTCCGTACTGTCCACGTGTTCCTTCTCCTGCCTTCCGAGTGCTAGAGCCAGTTCCGGCTCTGGGGGAGCCTGTGTTAGCTGTTTGGCTGCTCTGGGAGTAGGGGAGCAGGACTTGAACCCACCACCCTGGGGGCCCCAGGCAAATGTCCTATCCCCTAGGCCACTGTGGAACCCACCCCACCTGCCTACCAGGCTTACAGAGAGGAGGCCCATACATCATGGGACACATCCAAACTATGACCCGTACAGAGACCCCGCTCTCCTCACCCCAGGACTCCCACAGGCCTAGCAGCCCACATTCCTCCCGCCAGGGGAGCTGCTGAGGGGGGCTCCTGTCTGCCCCTTCCAGGTGGCCTGGCACCCCCTTACTCTTCCCCAAGGGGCCTGGCCCCCCCTTCCTCCCCCCCAAGGGGACCCGGCCAGCCTGTCAGGCCCCAGCACTGACATCTGCTTTGTGAGGACCCAAGGGCGGCTGTGCAGGCCAGCGGGCGGCACCTCCCCAAGAACGCTCCCTTCCTCCCCGTCAGTCCCTGCCGCTTCCATGGCCAAGGCCCCACCCCAGCACTCCAGGCCTTAGCCCGGGACCGGCCTGTGGCTCCCAGGGGCTGGCAGAGCAGCCACAGGCTCCTGGTGGATGCCCAACCGAAGCAGAGCTGGGACTGCCCTGCTCCGGGACAGCTTGGCTAGGGCCTGACCCTGGACCCGGTAGGCCCAGTGGGGAGCACGAGAGCCCAGCGCTGCCCCGGGCTAGCCAGGGGGGGGAGGGCCAGCCCCTCCCTCCTCCAAACAGCAAGTTGTAGGTGTTAGGTGGGGGAGGAGGGGTGAAGCTGCCACTTGGGGAGGCAGCAACTCCCCTGCCCCCTTCCCACGGTGTCCCTCTCCTCCCCCGTGTCCTGGCTCACTGCCTGCTGGGCCCCCTCCAGCCAAGTCCCTCCTCAAAAACCCTCCAATTCCTGCAGCTTCTCAGTGCAACGCAGCCTGTTTTGTGGCACGTGCCAGACATGCCGAAGGTTCCTCGTTCACAGCACTAGATTTGGGCACAAGACATGGCAGTCACAGGTGTAGCGGATACCCTGCTGGCGGCCGTGCAGGCAGCTCGCAAGCCCCTTGCCCCCAACCCCTCGGTGAGCCTGGGGAACACAGAATGGCAAGCACCAGCGGAAGCGAAGGGAGACGTCTGGGTCCTTCCCTCATACCCAGAAACAAGGCGGCCAGCCTTGCCCTCACCAGGGACAAAATGGCTGGGATCAGACCACAAAAGCTGCAGCCTCATTTCTACTTCTTCACGCAAACAAGCTGGGGGCCTCCTGTGCGGATTGCCTGCAGCCGCAGCACCTGGGACCAGGAAGGGGGGGGGAGCCGCTCCGGAAAATCCAGGCTGGCTGCTGCTTTAAGACAAGCACCCTTCGGCTCCCGGCACCAAGGGGCTCCCAGGGCGGCAGCATGGTGGGGCCAGCTCTGTGCGCCGGACGGGCAGCCCCAGTCTCCCCAGGTGCGGGAGCCCCAGCCCTGTTCCCACCAGGCCAACGCCATCCCCTCGCCACCGCAGAGAGCAGGGACCCAGCGCACCCACCTGCTGTCCTCCCCATCACAGCCCTGCCCCCCTTCCCCTCAGCCTCCCCACCTGGCCCTCCCCCTGCCCCGCCCAGCATAGAATTTGTACAAGTAAAAACAACGTTCATTGCCCTTGGATGGCCACAGCTTCCCCGTGAAATCACTGGGACCGGCTCTCTCCGGGGGGAGGGGAGGGTCGGTTCCTCCTGGCCATGTGCCGCCACAAAGGATCCAGCCCCCCCTGCAGCACAGCATGGGACCTGCCGGCCTCGCTGCGTCTTTGCCTAGCCCCTGGAGAGCAGGTGATGTGGGGCCCCGGTCCTGGGCCT